CCAACAGGTGCACTAAAGATTAGACATGGCTATGGCCATCAGCCTATTGCACAGAATGCTATTCTCTAGACTCTATTGTCCAAAAATAAAAAACCAGTATGTCATGGACACCAGAAATACAAACAATAGGGGGAGACCTAACTCATATACTAAAACCTATGAAGCACGGATACGAACACGGGGATACAGAAAAGTTCAAAAATATAGGATACGGATACGGTAAGGGTATGGCTAATTAAAATAATATATATTTTTTAGATAATAAAAGAAATATAATATATTCGAAACAAAGCATACTTTATAACAATATTAATAATAAGACCTAACAAATATTAATTTTTTTGATTAAAATTGAAATAGATCAAAATAAACATCCACCATTATCATCAAACATCCATCAACATTCATAATATATAAGTTACATAACAATAAACACAAAAATAAATAAAGAAATCACACTCCTATTAGTAGTTAACAATAAAATCCTGGTCGTGTCCTTGCCGACTGAGTCCACAATTCAGGATATTTCTAGCTGTGTCCGACGCATTTTCGACACTGCCACGACACCCTTCAGGAAGTATTAGTGCTTCCTAGACCAAAACAGAGTATGGCAGCTCCTTTTTCTTTAGCATTCTGGAGATGTGAAGTTCAATTGTGCAGAATGTTAAAATTGTTTAATAATTATCAATATACACACATTTTTCAAACAATTGCTTTAAAACATGCATGGCATTTCATCCAATCTCCAGTCAGTATCATATTGAACCTTGTACTACTACATAAGGTATTATACTTGTATTTGGAATTAGAAATCAATTTTACCAAATAGCAAGCTCATTCAATTGAAACAAAAATGGGGGTGTGAGGGAAAGCACCGGTGCAGTAAAGAGAAATGACAAAATAAAAGTTGCTTACTCCAAGTCGATAAGAACCAAAAGTAAACAAAACAGCATTGGCATCCTCCACCATTTGGTCTGTGTACCCTCTCAAGCGAGTAAGCTCCTTCACCCAATCTTTCACAATCTAAAATACAATGAAACAAAGTTACCAAAAGCTCAAAGTGAACCAAAAACAGAGAATAATGAATCACAAAACCAGAAAATGACTGGATTGAATAACAAATTCATTCAAAAAAAAATAAGTATCATATTAGAGGCAAAATTCAAGGGTGTGAAGAATACGTATGTGACGTACACAGCTCAAACAATCAAAAATTATGTCACACATCGAAAGAAAATATTCCACTTTTAATATTCTAGTATACCCATACCCATTTAACGCTATGATTTGATTCTCATCTTCTGTTTTGGAGCTTTCCTTTCCCATCTCTTTCTCTCATTCGACCCAACCGTCACCATGGAGCCGATTCGGGGGAGGATTCAGTCATTTCACTTTCTTTAACAAGTGAACCCACTAAACACACTAAGGTTGAGTTAATTTAACCTTTTTAGTACATCCCTGTGCAAATGCATCGCTGGAGAAACTTAGGCCAAAAGTCATGAAAACGGTTCAATTGGATTAGTGCTTTTCTCCATCTTCTTATTTTGTTTAACGAACCACAATTTCAAACCTCACTTAGAATCAGTATGTTATTTTCTCCAATCAACATCATCTGATTATTAGGTTACAGGACTTTCATTCGGTTTCTAAATGATAGGGCCATGATATATTTCTTTCTTCTGTTCTCAGGTCATTCTTCCCTCTTTCTCAGATCTAAGCTGTTAACTTGTAGTATTGAATTTCATCTGATTACCATGTCAGTTACAACTCAACTCATCCAGATTAGTCAATGATTTGAAATGGTACCAACACCAAAATTACCATTTCTTCTTTTTCGTTTGATTCTTAGGTTGCAGGACTTTCATTCAGTTTCTAAATGATAGGGCCATGATATATTTCTAACTTCTGTTCTCAGGTCATTCTTCCCTCTTTCTAAGAACTAGGTTGTCAATATGTTGTATTGAGTTTCATCAGGTTAGCATGTCAGTTACAACTCAACTCAATCTGATTAGTCAATGATTTGAAATGGGACCAACACCAAAATTACCATTTCTTCTATTTAGTTAAACAATGTTTTGTATGACCATTTCATTCACAAGCCAAAATTGTGATTTCAATATTTGTACAACTTGCATTTGGGTTAAGACAAAGCCCATCTTGCCATTACACAGGCATGATACATGATACAGCTGCCTGCCGAACACAACACAACGGCCATCCCGCTGTATAACAATATGGTCAAAGGGCATGAAATGTTGATCAACAACACAACGGCCATCCCGCCGCCTAAGATACTTTAAAAATAAGTTGAATTTCAGATAAGTTTAGAAAAAGTTGGCGATACACTGACATGACATTGATAAACGTTTAGGATATGGCAAGACGACGTTTTGGATACATCAGAGTACTTTGGGACTAAATACATCATTTTTGTTCTTTAAAATAGGTTGTTGAATAAGGGAGTTCATCAAAGAAAAAAATGTAATTTCAACCTCGCAATGGTTGCCTTATCCAGTATGTTCTTTAGTTAACCAGACCCTCTTATAAAATGTCCCAACTCACTCACATATTTAATATTTTACCGATCTATAAGTGAAAGTAAGAGACCGACTTGAATATCTTTATTTTATTTGGTTGTAAATATAAAATTCTAGATGGTTAGTACATTCGAATACCTGAACGATGAAAATTTTATCATCAGTTTTTGGTCAATTAAGATTAATGGAGTTGTTTAATGTAACAACTTTTAGGTTCACTTCACAAAGTTTAATGTCCATTATTTTTCTAGAATTGCTTACAGTTATGCTTGCATTCCAAAATCGCATCTCTGTGTCATTTAGGTTACCAGAAAATTCCAAGTTCCTACAATACCTGGTTCCTTCCCTAACCTTGAAACTCTAAAATCTAAAGACCATGTCTTCTGAGGATCACAATATACCAACTACCCAACTGCTCTACATATACAAATATGGCCATGCTGATATGCGTAAGTGATGTAGGGATAAGAAAAATAAAGTAGACCCCACAAGGTGTTTCTTCAATGCAGGCCTTATATATGTGTATAAACACAAAACAAATGTATATTGAGCGCATAATCAGGATAAACTGATCGAAAACTTCTCAATTCCTAAGTTAATGTCATGATATAGTCTATGTACTATTGGTAAATCAATTTGACCCAAGGCGAGCCAATTTCAATCTAAATTAACAAACCTTAGTTTGGGAGTTAAGACTCTAAATTCAGTACAATAAATAGATGCAAGAAAAAATGGAAACTACTGAGAAGTTCCAAAAATCAGGTACCTGCTTAATACGACCAAAGACATCTTCCCTCTTGGAAACTTCATCCGGGCTTTCATATAGCCCAGCGTCTGACAAACACTAGGGTACACAAAAACAAATCTCAGAATAAACATAAACATTAGGACAAACAACCAAAATTTTCAAACAATGTACCGATAAACATACCTTCTCCAACTTCCTGCTTCTTTGAATATCAGCCTCCGTAGGCCCCGCAAGAGATATCGGCTTGGTGACTCCGTATTGCTTTGGCTTCAGCGCCGGCGGTTGCTGACGAAATGGAGAATCGCACAAACTCTCTGATTCCACCATAATCAACAGTAGAAGAACCCCAAGACTAACCCTATATCAAACAAATCAGTCGACACGCGCATACACAGAAAATCAAACTCAATAACGATTAGCTTAATGGAATGAAACCCAAAACCCTAATGCAAGAAGAATGATCGTTCGACTCAGGCTAAATCAGACCAAAAAGGAATCGAAATTTGTATGCGAAATTCAAACAGGATCAACAACAGAAACCCTAGATCGCAGTAGATAACCACATTCACCACCGTCCGAACAAGGATAATTGAGTTGATCAATTATTGAAACGCCAGAAAACGGGCGGTAGATCCAACAAAGCGCGAAGACGAAGACAACTGAACCCTAAAGATGCGATTGCAGACGCGCGCGCACACACAAAAACCACGGACACACGGAGAGGGGCAAGAGAGCGTTTGGGGGACAGCAGATCAGTTGGTTGTGGAGGAGAGAGAGAGACAGAGGGGGGGGGGGTTTGACACGAAGGAGCTCGATCACATCTGGTTGGCGGTTGGGGATGATGGAGTGTTTTTTTTTTTTGGCTTTGTGGGCAATGGGGATGATGGAGTTGGAGAATGGAAGAGAGAGAGACAGAGAGGGATATTTAATAAACGCACCGCACCGTTTGGGAGCGGTGTTACTAAAAAAACGATATTCGTACTTGGAACATCCTTATCCTTTTAGGATTTGGAATTTTGGAGTAACGTCACTAGCAAGGAAGCTAGCTGTTCATGGCGCCAGTGGCCACGCGGCATTTTTGGGAAAATAGCACATTGCATCCCTAAAGATTCCAAAATTCTCAATTTGTAACCTAAACGTTAAATTTTTTCATTTTTTTTAAATTACACCCCCAATAATACAAATCAGTTATAACACTGTTCAATTAGTAACTCGTCCAACTTGTCGTCCCTTTTTGTCCCACATGCAGTCAAGAAGGGACTAATTGGTCAAATGCCATATTTGGGCATCAAAATCAACCAACCCCCCCCTGAATAGGAACAACACTAATGGGTTGGTATTAGTACCCAAATGTGGTTTTTACCAATCAGCCCCTTCTTGACTGCACGTGCAAAGCAGGTGGGACAAAAAGGGACGGCAAGTAGGACGGAGTTACCAGTTGGGCTGGATTTCAATTGATTTGTATTATTGGGGGTGTAATTTGAAAAAAATTAACTTTTAGAGTCTAAATTGAGAATTTTTAAATCTTTTGTGGTACAATATGCAATATTTTCCCAGTTTTTTATGGGAAAACTTTACTTTACCCCCTCGTGTTTTACCCCATTTACACATAACCTCCCTTTGGATTAAAATTATCACATAACCCAGACGTGGTTACTGAACTAAAATGCACTGTTGAGCACTTTTAACAACTACATTAAAATGACCTTGAAACCCCTTCTTCTCGGGCTATTCCATCGCATTATTCTTGTCTAGTCTTAAGAGACCACCCACTTCCGTTCAACGAATCCCCAACCACACCAAATAACAAATGATATAAAAAAATCAAAAACAGCCTTGCTTCCACCAGTGCACTGCCACTATTGATGTACAAAGCTAGCTATTGCACTAGAAGATCACCATTTTAATCTCTATAGCCCATCACTTTAATCTTTGTCCCCAAATTCAATAACCCAAGATTGTCATCTCTAATGATGCACAAAGTTAACTATGTACAATCAAATCAATCGAATGTGTGATATAAAGTAATTAATGAAGCAATCAATAATAAAAAAACAAAAATTGGGTGGTTGGGTCTAGGTGACCTAACCATTGTAGAAAGCGGCAATAATAGATAGAGAACTCTATTAATAAAAAAATACAAGGTAATAGAAGAGAAAGAGAGAGCAAGAATACGATTCAAGGGGTAATATGTGAGATTTGCTCCCATATGTAGGGAGGTCTATAATTTATAAGCGCATAGCCCAAGTTAAGACAGGGAGTGAGGGTCAAACTATTAATTTTATCGGAGAAGATAACTACAATTGGGGATAAACACTATCTTAAAATAATAGTTATCCCGATCATTGTTCTCCCACGTACATGAACTCTTCCTAAACTCTTGAACTTTGGATTGAACTGAGGTCAGGAGCTAAGTCTAATATGTCTTTTGTTGATTTGGGCTCAACCGATGAATTGGGCCTAAACCTGGTTTGAATCTGGGCTCGTTATTTGCCCCAAGCCCTAGTGGTGATAAGGGTAGAGGGCATGAGTGAGCTCCTACATTTGGGTAGACCAGATATCTTGTGTTTACATGGTTTCCTTAAGCTTCTTCCCTCATTTGGCAGCATTATTGTTGATATGATTGCACCCATTGTGCTAACAGACAAACCCCTTCGCCGGGACTTCCATTGGATTCGAAAAAACTTCATCCCGTTATAGTAGAGTGCTTCAACTTTAGAATTGATTACTCAAGTGCAGGTTGTCGCGAAGTAATATAATATTTGGAAGTCCAAGGTCGAACTACGGGGAATTGTAACAAAAAGCAATCACAGAAATACCAAAAAAAATTGAGAGAACAATTTGTGTAAAAAAAATTGTTGAGTTGAAAATATTGATTGGAGATATTTAAACAATATAATAAAAATACTAGAGCATCAAGTACTCCCTCAATTTCATACAATAATGATTAAAGACTCAAATCTTAACTTGAGACAAGAATTAGATGTCGGTTGATTCGAGTAACAAGTCAAGTAAGAAAATCAAAAGATTATTCAGGAACCTGAATAATCATCCAATTATATTATTTTATGAAATAATGATAAATACATCAAGCATGAAATAACCAGTTATTTACTTACAAGAAAATTCAAGCAATCGATGTACATGACACAATGATTGAAGGATTTTTACAGAATACAAATTTTACTAAGAAATCAGAAATCAGAAATCAGAAGTTAAAGTAACAAAACATCATAAATCATTAAGCACAGAGTCAATAACAGTACCGTACTTTGTTAGAGGTTTTTCCCTAACCCTAGCTTAGCCTTCTAGCCAAACATAACGAATTAAAACAAAAATAAAAAGATGAAAAAAAGAATTATCCTAATCTCTAAATGAAAATCTCTATTTATACTAATAATAAATCTTAAGTACAAGTTGAAAAGAATTCTTTTCCAAAAAAAGAAGTCTGGTAAGGTTAAATCTCGTGCATAAAATTTTTGGGACGCGGGTACAAAATTTATTCAGATTTCAAGTTTAAATTTCGAATATTTAGAGGTTGAATCACAAAAAATTCGTGAAATACACTTTTGTAGCCCTTGAAGTCTTCTTTTTATCCCCCAAAAATCAAGTAAATCGGATATCAGATTCAAAAGTTATAACCAAAATACCAAAGATGTGTCAAATCTTTTTCTTCTTGGACATTTTCCTAATTCAACTCTAAATGAGTTTTCTTCTAACTTGGACTCTTATAAGGATTTAATTGTTGTCATATTTTCAAGTCTTCCAATCTCAATCTTGACTCTTCAATCCTTATCGATTATAATTCTTCCTCTAGTGATTGATTCACTTGCATTATTCATTATTACTTTAAATCAACCAATTTACCTACAAAATAAACCAAATAACTAAAAAAAGTATCAAACTAGAAAATCAAAAAATTTAACACATTTAATTACAAATAATATACAATTAACCAATCATTAAATATAATAAAATAGCAATTTTTATGGTTAATCATAGAGAAACCTTTTTTTTCTTTTAGGTATGAGAACATGTTTAAACCAATTCTTGCTTGATTTGAGTTTGATGAAGTTGCTTAGTTTGGATTTCATGAAATGGGTTGTTGGACATGCTATGTGTTTACATAATTTTGCCTATTAAGTGTTTGATAAAATGCTTATGAAATAAAATTTGCTAATTAGATTGATATCATATGTAACCATTTGTGATTGTTTGTGGAAAATTGATATGTTTATTATATGTCTTATGATATGACGAGCAACATGTAATATAAATTACAATTATACAATTTGATTGCATAATGATATAAAGTATAATTGTACATTATATTTGCATATGGATGAATAACATCACATTTGTGGACATTTGACATGAGTGTGAGTATGAGTGTGTGGGTGCATGGGTTGGTCAATCACCACAGGGTGAGTTGATGGGTGGACTCGGAAGGTTTGAATCAAAGTTTGATAAAGTCGCACGAGATATTGTATAAAAAACTTGTGTCGAGTATAGTAAAAAGGGATAAATTTTCCCTCGGGTGCATGACCTGATTACTTGATTCAGTCATTTGCCCTATGGTGAAAATTTGAAAAAGTGTGTGAGTGTACTTGAAGTCCAAGGTAAAATGCCCTCGAATGTCGTGTAGGTTTAATAGCCCCTTAGTGTGATGTCCATAAATTTCCTACCCAACAAGACACAAGAGTTGATGAATGGCGTGAGATGCATAGCACCGATGACAAGGTCACTAGATGTGTAGCATCGATGATAAAGGCTTGAAATGTCTGGATGCATACGCATGACATGACATATGTTATGGCAACCGATGAAGGGCTTAGATTTGGATTGCATGCGCGAGTTTCATCTCATGACGTGACATGAAATTGTAGTATTCAGCTATGATATGTATGTGTTTGAATGAATATTTGATATGATGACTTACATGTGGCATTTCATATGCATTTGGGTTGAAGAGTGACCTATTTAGGAGATACCCTATTGAGTGTGACTCACCCTTTATGGGAATACATTTCAAGTGTTAGACAAGTTTTAGCTGACGAACCCTCACTTAGGCCCATGTTGATGACAGAATTAGGTTGTGGCTCTCAAAGTACATTTTTGTAGTCCCTTGTATATCTTTGTTTTGGTCATGTATAAATTATGTACAAACCTTGTACTTTGACAAAGACATGTAATGAGACACTTTTGAAAAGTTATTATTTTGTAAACAAATGAATGTAATGGGTATTGTAGGAGATTGTATGGTTAAAAGTTGAAAATTGAGAAATTGGGAAAATTTGGGCCCGAGGTACCTAGCTTGTAGTGGATTT